CAAATGGGCGGCCTCCTCACGAGCGATCTCCAACTGCAAAGAAGTGGGGGTAAAGACATGAGATCCTTTCAAAACGGCGAATTCAGATTCGAGTTTCTCGATCTTTTTAGCAGTCGAGCAAAGCTGAGCCACCAACGCCATTTTGACCTCCTTAGCACATTGATAGCATCCTGATCAACGCGCATAGACTCAACTGCCAGGATTAAAGTCTTATGCCTTGTAGCAATTATGGAGGACCTCATCGAGTAAGTAGGACGTTTCGCAAAAGAGTATGAACGGATGACAACTTTCCCAACACTATCAACAAACTTGGTGCATGCATCAACATCTTCAAGCAGGTCAGCTTTCAGCAGCGCAAAACTTCGGGAAACTCTCCAACCTAAGACTTAGTGGATCTTTCACAACTACCCGTGCGAGCATATTTCCCCTTTTCAGTAGACGAGTCAGTCAAGACAGAAAGAGGAGTAGGCCCAGACGCCACCTTAGCAACAGAATCCACTTTCCCATTCTTTATAGCAGCGAGCTTCTTATAAGCAAAGCCAGACTTATCTCTCGACAGACGTTTCGATATAAACCCGAATACCAGAGGCATCATCGAACTCTTCTGCTGGGCAAGTCTCTCAGCAATGGATACGGTCACCTTCAGAGCAGCAGGTTTCACAGACTCGGGCTCAACGATTATCTTTGCCTCCTTAGGGGAAGTTAGATCAATGAAAAGCTTCTCGACAGCAAACAAGCTCACACGAGCAGCAGAAGAAGTCCTTGGTTTTTTCTCAACCGAAGGCTCACAAGCAGGTGAGGAAGACCTCTTCTTTCTACCACCATTGGCAGCAAGCTCTCCAGTAGCGATAGGGCAAGCCAACGCCTCGTTCTTTATCCGCTTTATCTCTTCCCTTGGGGCAGGCCACCTTCCTCTCGACGAAGAGGGCTGAGCAGCCAACGCCACTCATGGTACTCAACTGGAATGCCCAAGGCAACGTGCACTTTCTTCATATCCGCTGAAGTCCTTGGAGTTGAGCCAAACTCCGAATCTACACAAAGTAAAAATACGATCAATAAATTGAAGTGATGGAGCAGCTCAACAGAAATTCAAGCAGGACAGGAATGAAGCAGTTCACTTAGCACTAATAAAGGTAGTCGGGACACGCAGCTCAGGAGAAGAGTCAGACTCCCACTCTCTACTTACCTCTAAGGTATCTCTCGCCCCACTTATGGTCACTGTTGCTAGACGCATTGAACAACCTATGGCGATATCTCAACTGCCCCACGCCCTCTTTGTGGTTGATCTCAAAGAAGTACCAAAACTCATTTGTGGTCAAGCCAAGCTCAAAGAACCTGCTTAAGTTGAAGAATTCCACCATCGCACGAACTGCATTTGGGGAACACTGAGCAAGCACGCATTTCATGGAGCAAATCACCTCCTGGAAAAGATGTGGCATGGGAAAAGTAAATCCCAACACAAAGTAATATGGATGCAATTTGATAGCTTTCTTCCTGGTAGAGGCACCCTCTCCACATGGTTCATGGCCGCTATCATCCTTTACCCGCTTGACTCAAACCCCAGAAGGAATCGCATGCTTGTATGGCTCAAGAAAATCCCGAAATAGCTCGTCGAAATTAATCTTGACATGCGCAGCCTTGAAGTAACCCACCTTGTCGGAAGAACCACCTTGACGATACAAAGGTGGAGGATATTCGTCACTTTTGTGGTCAGAGGAAGACATTTCAAAGTCTCTGCAAAAAGCACAAAGAAAAAAATATATATTTAGAAGGCAGTTCGAAAAAAAAAAAAAAAAAAAAAAAAAGCGGTATGCATATATACCCAAGAAAAACAACATGGGTGCAGCCCAACAAGAAGGGAAGCCCGCGACCCAAGAAGAAAACCCAGGCCTCACAGCCCAAGTCCCGCACACAGGAGGGCTTGCCCACGCCGGTCCCTCTCATTCTCTTCCCACTTCCGAGGCACCAGCACAGCAACCATGGAGACCCAACCTAAGCCAATCTCCCCATGCCAGCCAACACCCTTGCCGCACCACCTGCAACCCGTGGCCTCCCTGCCACGCCATTCATGCATCCTTGGCACCCACCAAGCCAATTTTTCAAGCCCCAAGGCTCCCAAAAATTCAAGAAGAAGAAAAAATTCAAATTTTTCTTACCTTAGTGCAGCACGGAAAAGAAGAAGATCAACGAGAAATGACTCTTCGCAAGGGCAAGAAAAGAAGAACGCTAGGGGAAGGGGAAGAAAAAATATCCTTTGGCTTCTCTTTCTTGTTGGAATAATGATTGTTCTCCAAATTTATTTAATCCCTTGCTTAAGGCAGAATTAAATAGGTATTCGGGGCAATTATTTTCCTTTTCCTAGAAGAAGTCTATCTCCAAATCAGGAAAGAATTACAAGTTCAAATTGGGTAACAACTCTACAAACCCAAGCAGCTTGGGATTTCTACACCTACTACCCTTTCCATACGAGCAGCACAATAGGTGTGAGGGCATTTGTGGAGCCTAAAATAATCCCAAAAATTCTAGAGGTGACACGTGGACTTTTATTCAAGAAGGACAAGATTGCCCTCAATAAATGAGCAGGCTTCTCAGATGCACCCACGTGCAACTCACATCCCTGAAAGATTCAGCAGCTAAACACAACTGCTCACAACTCACCTGCCCTTGGCAAGAAATTAAAGATAATGATTAATTATCCAAATCCTATCTTTAATATATTCCTAATTGAAGATTGACTCCAATCAAGTAAGTAATCATAATTTAATTCAATTAAGGATTATTACACTAGTATCTCAAGATATTATCTCCTATTAAATATCTTGGGAATATTTAGAGAATATTTCTCAATTAAACCCTATATGGCCAGCCCTAGCCCTATAAATACCCCACATTCTACCAAATTGAAAGGGCTTTTGCAACCCTAAAAAGCCTTAAACACTTTACTCTCTCAGAGAAACTAACTTAGGCATCGGAGGTCCGTTGACCTAAACCCCCCCCCCCAACCTCGTGGGCGCATGAGGCTTAGATCTTTGATCAAAGGTGTTGATTGTTTTGTAGGTGCATTTTCATCAAGACTGAAGACAGTGGAAATTTGCATCCACAAAGATGACTCTCGCAAAAGTGAGATGATCCATGGACTCTCTGTCACGTCATGTCTTTTGGCAAAATTCACATGCCAACATTATAAAACATTGTACCAAAACATGAGGTGGTAGATAGTCCATAGAGAGTCTCACTTTGAAAAAATCTCCTTAGCATTCTCATAATGTTTTATATTCAGTTAGTTCATTATGCACTTTGATTTTCAACTCATCTAAAAGGAGTGTTGTAAGTACCATTAAATATACGTAGTTGTCTACTTAGGACTATTATGTAGTATAACTGGTTGACATTCAATAATATTACTCCTACATAAAAGGAGTCTAATGGAAAATAAAAAACTCTCAAATTGTCTCCCAATATGTATTTGATGTTCTCTCTATTTTAACTATTGCCTATTTCATTCCCAACTTTCGGAAACTGTCCATATATTTTACAGCCATACTGTACCGTTCATTTAATTGGAATCGTATTGATGAATCGACCAATCTTCTTTCCACCTTTCATTGAGCCTATGAAGTCCATGCAAACTTGGGAAAATCAGTGGGACAGTTGGAAACAAAGAAATGCATTGATATATAGAGAAGTGGATATATGTTTCCACGATATAAACTAAATAGTTTGGTGGGTAAACCCTGACACCAATAAAGGCAACAACCCTATGGATCATACGTAAAATGCATGGAATGATTGCTTTTAAATGACTAATATCGTTTTTAAAGAATTTTTTTTGAACTAATTCTTAATAAAAATACAAATTAATTTTTAATAAACATTTCAAATGCTTTTAGAACTTAAAAACATTTTATCTAAAAGCGTTTTTAGTAATTTAAAAGCATTTCTCAAATTAGACATATATTAGAAAGAAAAAAAAAATTATATATTAATACTCCCAAATAATATTAGACGTCTCTATGGGACAGCTGGGTTGGTGGTATGGGGCTTTAACCGGTTCAAAGCTTCAGAGCCATGGCCTCGTGACTCTTAATTAATTAGGGATAACAAAGAAACTCACAAAAATATATATTAGCCGTGTATATCATGTGTCGAGTAAAATCTAGCACCAAAACGAGAGATTTTTAGTGTGCTGAGAAAATGTTTCGATATACAAAGTGCAGTAATATAATTGATTTTTTAAAATTTTTCAACTAATTGTATTGTGTGATGCATGGGACTGTATTATCAACATACTGAAAAATCTCCACCGCAACTTTAATATTTTTAGAGTAGGTCATGCCCAACCAGAATACTAAACCGTGTGGAAGCGTTGCTAATCCCAAGATGTGATCCACAAGTTTTTTTACCATACATTCTTTGACTTGTTCATTGGGTAGTAGTGTGGGTTACCTCCTTTCTCAATTGATATCCAGAACTAACCAAATAATAGGCTAGTGTATGTATATATTAATTGCAAAGTAAGAAAATTAAATATTCGAATTTAAGACATTGTTAATATTGAAAGTAGAGGTATTACTCAATAATTAGTGGTTTAAAAAAATAATAATAATAATTAGTTGGTCTCCTCATTGTAGATTACAAGATATTTTTTTTGTTTTTGTTTTAAACAAACAATATTATCAACAATAAGGGGTGGGAAAGTGGGTTAAGCCTCACAATGGACTAACAATAATATGGTCTAAATTCGCCTTTGGCGAGAATAAGACCACTCACTTACAAGTGAAGACGAATATCACGAGGTCGTAGTACTAAGTATCAGTAAATTAAGGTTTAGAGTTTAAAAAAATATTATTTCGTAAAAAAAATACGAATATTGAATAATAAAAGGGTTAAAATGATTGAAGTAATTAACCCTTACTCTGAATGCAAACGAACAGCTGCCCAACTACTTGCGTGCACTCTACCTCATAATTGCCCCATCTTTTCTTTATATCATATAATGGCTGTACTGCAACATATCCCTGCGCCACTCCCTCACTTGGCTTCGCATTTGAAGCATATAAATCACTCTTTAACTTGATCTCTCTTTAGTACACTTTCTTCCTCTCCCACCCTAACTCTCTGGTATTTACATCCAACTTTTTTCCTCCAATGGAGTTGGAAAGTATCCTTTATTTCATTGAGAACAAGAACATTTTAGTCACTGGCGCCACTGGCTTTCTAGCAAAGAGTACTATCCGATTTTACCTTCTCTCTCTCTCTCTCTCTCTCTGTTTGTGTCTTTGTTTTAGTTACACGCACCTAATATGCTGGAATAATGTATGCAGTTTTTGTAGAGAAGATACTGAGGGTGCAACCAAATGTTAAGAAGCTCTACCTTCTTCTTAGAGCTCCTGATACAAAATCAGCTACTGAGCGTTTGAATAATGAGGTATCTATGGAAGTGGTAGACTACGTAGGTGGTTAGTGTTTATTCTTCAATTCACTGCGTTGTGAGTTTAAAGTTCAAACCCTTACCCTCCTCTGGTGCATATTAAAATAGTAATATTGCTTAACTTAAGAAAAAGGGTATACATATGCACATCTATCTATGTATAATTTTTAGTTTAGTGCAGGAGATGATTCAAAGTGTATTTCCCTTTTGCTTCTGCATATCTTCTTTTTTGCGCATACCAAATAGACAAGAATGGCAAAAGAATATAGGTAATTGTGTATTGGACCACCTCAGTCTGTCTATATTAAGAAGTTTGGTGCACTAAAATAAATATATGAAATGTGGGGAAAGAAATATTTTGTTTCTGAATTTGAAATGCTATGGAAATCGAAATTATTTCAATTTTTAACTTTTTTGGTCACTTCTATTTGTAGATAATTGGGAAGGATCTTTTTAGAGTGTTGAAGGAAAAATGGGGAGCAGGTATGAACTCAATCATCTCAGAAAAGCTGACTGTGGTGCCTGGAGACATTTCTCGTGAGGATTTGGGCTTGAATGATTCTAGCTTGAGGGAAGAGATGCTGAGTCATATAGATGTCATTGTGAACTTAGCTGCAACTACCAACTTTGATGAAAGGTAAAATGTTTAAGAAATGATTTTCGCACACCCAAACTTTTAGATTTAATAAATTGGAAAAAGATCATGCGACAAAAATAAAAAGAAGTTTGTAGAAAAAGAAAAATAATGTGCGAAAATCTCCTTTAATATTTATTGTTGAGTTTCAGTTTACTTAGTTAAAATTATAGTTTCTTTTTATACTCTTGTTATACTGTGAATTTATAACAGAGTCAATTATTTTGACGCATAATTGAGATTTACAGTTTGATTATTTAGTAAGTCTGCAAGAATATAACAAATATAATATACGAATACTGTGAATTTATAAAAGAGAATTCTTTTGACGCATAATTGAGATTTACAGTTTAGTAAGTCTGCAAGAATATAACAAATATAATATAAGAATATAGCAGAATAGACTGAAATATATATTGTTGTGTGCAGATATGATATTGCACTTGCCCTCAATACTTTGGGAGCAATGCATGTATTGAACTTTGCTAAACAATGTAATACATTAAAGGTGCTGGTCCACGTGTCCACAGGTTAGTGTCTGATCTTTGATTGTTTCCAGATCCTTTTGTTCTGAACTAATATAATAATACCCAGTTTGAAATAATACGAGAGCAATATAATGGATCGGGTGTGCGTTGCGTTTTTAATTAAGGGATTAAAATCAATATCTAATCTCACACTAGGTTTTTATTAAATTTTAATCTTTTTGAAGGATTAAAGTTCAAAAATTCCTTTATTTAATTTAAAAAGGTATACAATCATTCCAGAGAACATCGTAAAGAACATCCGAAAGTTTCTCAAACTAATACGGAACCAATTAATAAACGTTTAACAAATTTACTTAAAAACACAGTAAAATTGCGAAAAAGTTGAAAAAAAGTTTTTAAGGTCATTCGTGGTAACAAATTCACATGCTATTACTTGAAATTGTCATGTTGTGCAAAGTTTTTACTTTTTGAAAGAAACTGTTAAACTTATCATAATCTTAATTTATTATCCCACCGTCGCTCACTACTAAAGATTTTATCATTTCAGCTTATGTTTGCGGCGAAAAGGAGGGGCTTTTATTAGAAAACGCATACCGCATGGGTGAGACACTCAATGGGACCACAGGGCTAGACATCGACAATGAAATCAGGCTGGTCCAGGAAGAACTGAAAGAGCTCCGCGCGGAGGGGGCATCAGAACAAGCAATCACTCTGGCCCTCAAAGATTTTGGACTCAAAAGGTTTGTCAAAAAAAAAAATAACCATTCTTCCTTGCACTTTCTTCTTTCACTTATTTATAATGAAATTGTGATTTTACCATAAAACCAATTGACAATATGAAGAGTATTCCAAAACCATATAAGTCCATAGCAAGGCATGTCCCTCACCATCATCAAATCTCAACACGCTCCCGCACGTGTAACCGATTTTTAAGCCTACACGTGGACAACAACTGGGTGACGCATGAGCACGTGTGTCCCTTGGGCTTACACACAAGGGACAATCTGCTCTAATATCATGATGAAATTGAGATTCCACCATAAAAACAATTGGTAATATGTCAATCATATGTGGATTGACATATGAGTTATCATAAGACCATCTCCAAAGGAGATGTCAAATTTTAAACATAAAATTTGAATTTTGACAACCTACATGACATTTTGACATCTTTTAAAATTTTATTTTCCACCTGATATGTCAAATTAAACTATTGTTTTATTACACTAATTTTTAGCAAATTTTTTATTATTTATTTTTAATTACATATAAATAATTGATAAAAAGAAATTCATACTAAGCCAGCCCCTTCTCTCTGGACTTCTCCTGATCTTTTTTCTCTCTTTTCTGAATTCGAATCGAAGGGACTGCTCTTGTGAATCCATCTTTTCATACTTCCATAGCCGTCTGGTAAACCCCATCTCGGCCATCTGATGTGGTTCTCTTCCTTAGTTGCTTTTGTTGGGTACCTTTTAATTGGGGATTGGAGGAACGATTTGGGTTTCAGTATTTTAGTATTGGCTGATTCCAAGGAACTGTGGAACGGGAGAAGAAGGGAAGGAGAAAGACGAGTGGACTCCGTTTGCAGGTGTGGTGATGTAATCCATGGATTTTCTTTTTCGGGATTGCAACAAGGATTGAGAGCTCTTGTTTGAGCTACGGTACGAAATGGAGGCTTACATTTGGGTTTTAGATTGAGATCGTGAGGTTGATTTCTGGGTTTGGTTCTGAGAAAAGGGAAGAAGAAGGCGAGCAGCGGTTGAGAATCGAGAGAGGAGATTAAAAAAAAAAAAAAAATTAATTAAAAAATATTTGAGGCTGCTATCAAATTTGACAGCAATCTTTTGCTGCCAATCCTTGTCACATTGGAATTGACAATTCAGTTGGAGAATATTATTTTAGTTCTTTTTTTTTACTGTTATAGTTTATGTAAAAATTTTAACATCTCATTTGAAGATGTTTTAAGATGATATCAAATACTTTTTAATTATTTTATTATGTGCGTCTCATTAATGCACCAATTATAGATGTTGAAAATTTTATTTTAATTGATTTCTTTTTAAAATGAATCCTCTAAATATTATTTATAACAAAAAAACATTCCGATTGAAAAATAGAAAATCTGAAACTACTACATCAACTATTAAATTAGTATTTGACATTTATTTTTTATATTTCCATTAAAATGCTCTTAATCATGGTCTGAAGCTTAACCCAAGCTGTACTTTCAGAACTAGGACAACTACAGTATAAAGCCTGTCAACCTTAACCGTTAAGTGTTCATGGTAGCTTTGACTTGTGGTGCAGGTAGACCATTTTAGCATCCAGATTGATTGCTTTTTATTTGACCTATACAGTATCATGTTGTTCTTAGGAAAATATTAACTTGGTTATCTTTTCGACCACAAATGTAAGTACTCGAGTCTGTGTCTTGTTATAGCACACCTCCCAGGAGCTGCTCACATGTAAGTTATTCTCTAGTTTGGTTTAATTTCAGTCCGGCTCTTTGATTTTTGTTGGTCAACTTGAATTTTTACCGCTTCGGGTTGGTCCGGTTCTTCGGTTCATCGGTTTTTATGCATGCCTACCCCTAAAGTGTGTTGGTCAATATAGAAAACTACTGAGCAAACAGTAGGTCAAAATTAAAAGAAAATATAATAACAAGATATTGATCATATTATGTATAAATACGCGTAACGTCTCATACTAATAAGATAAAAACATGTGTAATTTTTTACTTATATATTTTTGCTTTATTAATATAAAATATGTGTAATCTTTTACTTATTTATTTTTGCTTTATCAATACAACGGGTAACAGTGTACCCGTATTATATTAATTATTGTCCACCCATAAAACAACAAACTACTACATTCGTGGCTTGTGCTTTGATTTGTCATACAAACTTGCGGTGTGCATTGATTGAGACATAAACCAAACACATTACTCACTCCATACACCTTATGTCATGTTTATCATTGTCAATTTTGATTAAACAAGTTTAAAAAATAGAAATAAATAAATAAATAGTGGTGTGCAGAACAAGGAAATGGTGTGTAAAAATGATTATCCTCATGACAAATTTACTGAACTATAGTTTATGTAGTTTTCATTGTATGTTTATATATATCAACTCTACTTAATTATTACTAACTATGTAGGGATAAATAAATAAATTGTACTTCTATAATATGAAATCCAAACTATACAAATTCTAAATCTCACATTTTTGGTAAATTAATATGAAATCCAAACTATACAAATTCTAAATCTCACATTTTTGGTAAATTATTTCCTTAGAGCAATTGTATATGGATGGCCAAACACCTACGTGTTTACCAAGGCAATGGGAGAGATGCTAATAGGAGACCTAAAAGAAAATCTACCTGTGGTCATTATTCGCCCTACCATCATCTCCAGTACTTACAAAGAGCCTTTTCCTGGTTGGGTTGAAGGAATCAGGTGTGTTCATACAAACAAACCTTCCTTATTATCGTTAAATATATAGCTAGTTCTTGGTCTCATATAAACATTTACGTTTTTATCTGTTCACTTGTGTGACATGCAGAACCATTGATAGCATTGCAGTTGGCTATGGTAAAGGAAAATTAACATTCTTTCTCTGCGATATTGATGCAATTGTTGATGTGGTGAGTTAACAAAATACTTCTTCAGTTTGCTACTATTTATACCCTCTTATATATCTCCAAGCTTAGAGAACGTTAAAATCAAAATACAAAATTACATAGCTCTTTATACGTGGGATTTATTTTTACGCATAAAAATTTATAATTTAACATGCGTGCATATTTTTTACAAATATGTATTCATGTGTATTTGAAGCTGTGATCTTCAAAGAACGCACTCTATATATAAACAGCCGAAGAATGTTCATTAAAAAAATAAAGGTGTATACCTGTTACTTACAAATATTAGGTCGGTCAGGCATACACTAGTTCATTAGCCAATAAAGAAATTCTACTTAATTAGTGCTCATCTTTCATTATACTCTTACGCATTTACAAAACAATTGATGATATTATTTATATAAACATCGTGCGCAGATACCAGCTGACATGGTTGTGAATGCAATACTTGCTGCAATGGCAGCCCATGCAAATCAACCTGGTGAAGTAATTTATCAAGTAGGATCGTCTATGAGAAATCCTTTAAGATATAGTAATCTTCACGATTATGGATTCCGTTTCTTCACCAAGAAACCATGGATTAATAAAGATGGGACGCCAGTCAAGGTTGGTAAGGTTACAGTTATGGGTAGCATGGCTAGCTTTCACAGATACATGACTGTCCGTTACTTACTGTTCCTGAAGGTAATTGGTTCGACATATTGTTTTGCATGCATTAATAATTTTTTTCAATCATAGGTTGTGCACAAACGTAACTAAGAAAACTGTGCGGTCACGTGCTGACATGGTATTACGAATCAATAAAAATTATGACACTTGTAATGTGATTAAGGTTGACAGCTTATGGTTTGAAGTTTGGATGTGCGAGCATGTATGGTTCCATCATCCAGAAGTCCCCCATCGCGTCTTCCTATATCATTTTCTCTCTCTAAAATTATGTAAAAGTTGCCCTTTGAGTTCAGTGTGTTCTGTCTTGATATAATACTCCGCTGTGTCTAATTTTTCCAACTCATCAGGGATTGGAGGTGGTTAATACAGCATTTTGCCAGTACTTCAAGGGCACCTACGTGGATCTCAGTAGAAAAATCAAATTTGTGATGAGGCTGGTGGAGCTTTACAAACCATACTTGTTCTTCAAAGGAGTGTATGTATATATGATTTCCTTTACTTATTTGTTGTTCATGTCATTGGTCTTGAAAGATAATTTTATTCCATATTGTGAGAACTAACTAACTATGAACTAATTATTGCATGCAGCTTCGATGATATGAACACAGAGAAGCTGCAAATGGCAGTTAGAGAAAACACCACAGAGGCAGATATATTTTACTTTGATCCAAAGTGCATAAATTGGGACGACTACATAATGAATGTCCATCTTCCTGGGGTTGTGAAATACGTCTTCAAATGATTACCCAAATTGGGATATAAGCATGTTTTGTTTCCTTTCGTTATGTATTTATGTAATGTATTTTGGAATTGGGAAGACTCTAGCAAGTGTATTTACTCGAGGCTGTATGCTGTGGCTCCGAATATGCATATTATAGTATACTTCAATCAAGTGTACGAATTATGATACAGGATTATTGTTATTTTGTTTTAATAAACATTGGTGTGAAAAGTTGTTGTCGCCAATGTAATATGATATATGAAAGTGTCAACTTCTTTAATTGGTTTTTAATTGAATTTGTGTTTTCGTTATAACGAGTCCTAACTGTAAGAATATGTTTTACAAATTAAAATATTTTTATTACACAATAATTACGATTATTGAATTGGTTATTTGCAAACCACTAAATGTGTTTTGATTTACTTTATTTTCAGTTTTGGTTGGTTACAATGTCAATCTTAGTGTTGCTTAGGCCTGACAAACGGGTCGTGTCTGTCGTGTTCGTGTCATTTTCATGTAACACCTGTTATCTTAACGGGTCGTATCGTGTCACACCCGTTATCTTAAGAGGTCCTTAATAGGTCGGGTCACTTTACCCAACGGGTAAAGTGACCCAACCCGTTATGACCCACTATGACCCATTAAGAAAAATGTATTTTTTTTCTTAAATTTTCACATTCCACACATTGCCACATAAATATTATTTTAAAACATTAAAACACATTTGTCGTTTAAGTACTACATCTACACTTGAAAATAAGAGCCTAATAAACAAACATCCATACACTACTAGTCTATTACAAAATATTAAATGTGCAAGGATATGCAAAATAAAAGAGTTTTTGTTTTCAAGGTTGTGAAGCCTTTCTCAAAAGTTTAAACCTTGCCAATAGAACTCAATGCTTGCATGTACTTTTTACAAAATCCTCAATTTTCATTGATCATCATGACATAAGATTTTGTGGTATCCACTAGTGTAAATATTTTAAATTGAAGATCGAATTCATTCATTGTATTCATATAGGATCAAGGAGTGTACCTGTAAAAAATCACCAAAATCGGAGTTAACATGACCGTTAAATCGTGATTTTTTGTTGATAACCCTCGAAAAGTTTTGTTCCATTACTTGATCTCTAAATGTTTGTGTTTTTGCAATTTTTGGCGTATGCGATCTCGAAGTATATACAAACATGTTTGACGGTTGGATCATTGAAACTAGTTTCGTAGAATATGTATCCCATCAAAACAATAGATTCACTAACACTTAAGAGTTTATTCATACTTTCATTAAGTATAACATAAGATTTTGTGGTATCCACTAGTGTAAATATTTTAAATTGAAGATCGAGTTCATTCATTGTATTCATATAGGGTCAAGGAGTGTAGCTATTAAAAATCATCAAAATCGCAGTTAAAATAACCGTTAAATCATGATTTTTCATTGATAACCGTCGAAAAGTTTTGCCTCTTTACTTGATCTCTGAATGTTTGTTTTTTGCGATTTTTAGTGTATACAATCTCGAAGCATATACAAACAAGTTTGACGGTTGGATCGTTGAAATTATTTTCGTAGAATGCGTATCCCATCAAAACGATAGATTCACTAACACTTAAAAGAGTTTATTCATACTTTCATTAAGTATAACATAAGATTTTGTAGTATCCACTAGTGTAAATATTTTAAATTAAAGATCAAGTTCATTCATTGTATAGGGTCAAGGAGTGTGGCTGTAAAAAATCATCAAAATCAGAGTTAAAATAACTGTTGAATCGTGATTTTTCAATGATAACCGTTGAAAACTTTTCTCCCGTTACTTGATCTTTGAATGTTTGTGTTTTTTGCAATTTTTGGCGTATGCAATCTCGAAGTATATACAAACAAGTTTGACGGTTGGATCGTTGAAATTAATTTCGTAGAATGTGTATCCCATCAAAACGATAGATTCACTAACACATATAGTTTATTCATACTTTCATTAAGTATAACATAAGATTTTGTAGTATCCACTAGTGTAAATATTTTAAATTGAAGATTGAGTTCATTCATTGTATTCACATAAGGTCAAGGAGTGTAGCTGTAAAAAATCATCAAAATCGGAGTTAAAATGACCGTTAAATTGTGATTTTTCGTTGATAATCATTGAACAGTTTTGTCTCGTTACTTGATCTCTGAATGTTTGTTTTTTTAAATTTTTAGCGTATGCGATCTCGAAGTATATACAAACATGTTTGACGGTTAGATCGTTGAAATTGGTTTCAGAGAATGCGTATCCCATCAAAACAATAGATTCACCAACACTTAAGAGTTTATTCATACTTTCATTAAGTATAACATAAGATTTTGTATCCACTAGTGTAAATATTTTAAAAATAAGATCGAGTTGATTCAATGTATTTGTATAGGGTTAGGGAGTGTAGCTGTGAAAAATCATCAAAATCAGAGTTAAAATAACCATTAAATCGTGATTTTTCATTAACAACCGTCGAAAAGTTTTCTCCCGTTACTTGATCTCTGAATGTTTGTTTTTTGCAATTTTTGGCATATGCGATCTCGAAGTATATACAAACATGTTTGATGGTTGGATCGTTGAAACTTGTTTCGTAGAATGCATATCCCATCAAAACAATAGATTCACTAACACTTAAGAGTTTGTTTTATAATTTCATCAAGTATAACATAAGATTTTGTGGTATCCACTAGTGTAAATATTTTAAATTGAAGATCGAGTTCATTCATTGTATTCATATAGGGTCAAGGAGTGTAGCTGTAAAAAATCATCAAAATCGGAGTTACAATAACCATTAAATCGTGATTTTTCGTTGATAATCGTCGAAAAGTTTTGTCCCGTTACTTGATCTTTGAATGTTTGTTTTTTGTGATTTTTAGCATATGCGATCTCGAAGCATATACAAACAAATTTGACGGTTGGATCATTAAAATTAGTTTCGTAGAATGCGTATCCCATCAAAACGATAAATTCACTAATATTTTAAAAGTTTATTCATACTTTCATTAAGTATAACATAAGATTTTGTGGTATCCAATAGTGTAAATATTTTAAGTTGAAGATCGAGTTCATTCATTATATTCATATAGGGTCAAGGAGTGTAGCTGTAAAAAATCATCCAAATCGGAGTTAAAATAACCGTTAAGTCGTGATTTTTCGTTAATAACCGTCGAAAAGTTTTGTCCCGTTACTTGATCTCTGAATGTTCGTTTTTTGCAATTTTTGGCGTATGCGATCTCGAAGCATATACAAACATGTTTGACGGTTGGATCGTTGAAACTAGTTTCGTAGAATGCATATCCCATCAAAACAATAGATTCACTAACACTTAATAGTTTATTCATACTTTCATTAAATATAACATAAGATTTTATGGTATCTACTAGTGTAAATATTTTAAATTGAAGATCGAGTTGACTCAATGTATTCGTATAGGGTCAAGGAGTGTAGCTGTAAAAAATCATCAAATCAGAGTTAAAATAATCATTAAATCGTGATTTTTCAATGATAACCGTCGAAAAGTTTTGTCTCGTCACTTGATATCTGAATGTTTGTTTTTTGCAATTTTTGGCGTATGCGATCTCGAAGCATATACAAACAAGTTTGACGGTTGGATCGTTGAAACTAATTTCATAGAATGCATATCCCATCAAAATAATAGATTCACTAACACTTAAGAGTTTATTCATACTTTCATTAAGTATAACATAAGATTTTGTGGTATCCACTAGTGTAAATATTTTAAATTGAAGATCGAGTTGACTCAATGTATTCGTATAGGGTCAAAGAGTGTAGCTGTAAAAAATCATCAAATCGGAGTTAAAATAACCGTTAAATCGTGATTTTTCGTTGATAACTGTTGAAAAAGTTTGTCCCGTTACTTGATCTCTAAATGTTTGTTTTTTGTGATTTTTTGCTGATGCGATCTCGATGCATATACAAACAAGTTTGACGGTTGGATCGTTCAAATTAGTTTCGTAGAATTTGTATCCCATCAAGTTCAATGGTGTGTGTGTATATATATTTATTAAGTAGATTTAAATTTATTTATTTTGTACGTATAACACTTAAGAAATTGAATAGTATGTATATTTCAGCTGATCCAATGGTCACCAATTTTTAATATTTAATTTAATATATATAATTATTATAGTTTTTTTGGGTATAAAATTGTTAAATTGATATATATAATTATTATAATATTTTTTTAGGGTTATATAATTAATATTTTGCTTATCGTGTATCGTGTTACTCACGTGTATACCCGAACCAACCCGTTATCTTAACAGGTGCTTATCAAGTTAACCGATAACAACCCGATTCGTTATCGTGTCGACCTGAACACCTGTTAATTTCATGTCGTGTCGTGTCGTGTCGGGTTATCGGGCCATGTCAAGAGTTGTCAGGCCTAGTGTTGCTGCCTTTATATGCTTTTAGTCTTGATTTGGAACAGTAAAGTTACCTAATTTCTAATATATATTAATAGCTATATAATTGTGATATTTATTATTATGAAAACATGTTACAAAGGAAAGATATATATACCAAGGGTGCGGGTATTTCAATGCACAGAGTTGCTGTAACAATTTTCATATGACCTTTCCTTATTCCTTGAAGTGCTGTTATGTCATTCAATTGTTTTATACCAATGGAAAAATCAAGTTGTTCAACCGATCTAAGTATTGCATTTGTATGCCTATGAGGATCAAAGGTTGTTATATCTTGGAAAGTAAGGCGTAATAAACTGCTACAGTACTAAAACATTGTCTTAAAGGGACGAAATCTACTCTTAAGAACAATGAATTTACATGCCTCAATCTAAAATATTGTTCTAATCAAGGATCGATGGAAGAGTGTTCTCTACCTACCAAAGATAAATATTTTATCTTTTTTTGTTAATTTTTATGTAATTAATTGTGGCAATGAGAATTATATACTAATATTTATCTAATGTGATTTGTTGTAGAAAAAGTAGTGCCCACATAGCCAATATTTCCAACAATCTTAAGAGTAGATTTTGGCTGCTACTCCTACTACTTCTCAATTGCATATAGTCCTCCATGGTGATTTTCTATCCAAGTTAGCTATATGGACAATTTAAAAAGGACGCGTGATTACAATATATATGGAGCTTTCAGATAAGTACCTCCAATTATTTTAGTCATTGAATTATTTCCTTAACTTAAACATTTCTATTAGTTCGTTACTTGAGCTTGTGTTTGTGTGCCATCAAGGAAGCTATGTCCCTGTGATTTTGTAAATCTAAAGCTAA